TTTAACTTCCCTTGAAAATGCCTCTACAATTATAAAAAGTAACCTTAATATCATTAAAAAAAAGAAGTCATCATACCCTTGAATTGTAACGTTCAAAAATAACTTAACAGTTTTGTTTGGTTAAAAGTCGGCTGGTCATATAAAAGTATTTGATAATGGCATATAGAATATGCAACAAATATGGAGTGATAATGCATACAATATTAAAATTATGTCAGTGGTGCAATTTAAGAATTAGGTAACTTGAGTCTGTACCTCTTACTTGCAATCAGAATTTCTTTATAATTTGTCTATAGAGGTACAGCTTAACACAAGGGACCTGAGTCCCCATTAAATTACTAATGAGGCCCACACTATGGTCTTTTCACAGGTCTGAAAGTTTATTAAGAGCAATATGATTATACAATCGAGAACTTCATGCAATTTTTAATTTGATAAAGATGAACCTATTGCACATTAGGGGGAGCCTCTTTGTTAACATCAACATTCGACATTCAACTTAAAATGTGTCATCTCATAAAAGCTAAATACTTGACTGAAGCTGAGCTTGAATGTATCACATTAACAGATGAGTCTACTGACCCAACACAGCAGTACATGAGGTGATATCACCACAGAAACAACATCTGCATTGACCTCTTTAAACATATTCAGTAGCTTGGAAAGCTATATAACACTGTCCAATAATATAGGACAAAGCTTACACTAGGAAGGCGACTTGATCCATTAACATTTTTTGTACAGAAAATAAGCAGTGGAAGCCAGCTATCAGACCCACAGCAGCAGAGCTCCCTATAAAACAAGTAACAAGCTGAGAGAGAGAAAGAGAGAGAGAGAGAACATGGTATACACATTGTGTGGCTGGTGTAATATGCATCACATAAGGCAGGTTAATCTGTATGGAAGGTTAAACCTAAGACTCATAAAACCTTGTAAATACAATGCTTAACAATGGAAGTGCTCTGGACTTGACTGGTTGATAGTGTACAAGCACTGTGATAGCACTGGAGGGATACTTTTTTCCTTTATACAAATGTTTCTAGTGAAGATAGATAGCCTGCTGTCATTCCATACTTAATGATATTCTACATTTTAAACATGTTAACCTCATCAAGAGCTATGGTAACACTGAAAAAACTATGATCATCCATATATTTACTATAAAAGGTGAACAGTGAATAGAATTATAACAGGAATACATCCCTCTTCCAAAGATTAACCTCTAAGTGTTATCATGCTAGACCATTATCATTTTTTACTATGCCTAAGGAAAAGAAAATTAATTATATTTCCCTGGGATTACTTTTTGATAAAAATATGTGACTTGTTAAGCCCATTATCATTTGGGAATACAGTACTACCATTTATTTACGATTCATTTTGGATAGTGAAAGATTTATATTATCAGCATACAAAAATAGTTAAAAGAAATGCAATTATTTTATTATGTATACACACGCGTGCATGTGCGCACACATATACACACACACACACACGAGCTATAACTCGACCCCTGCAACCACAATTAGATAAGTACACACATGCACACACACATGCACACACACGCACACACACATGCACACACACATGCGCACACACACACACACATGCACACACACACACATGCACACACACACATATGCACACACACACACACACATGTGCACACACACACACACAATCATATACATGTATATAATTTGATTGATGTCAAATAATGCAACAGTAACTAAATTTAGGCTAATTTAAAACAGGTTGGATAAGATACACCAGTTATAATATGTTAATTTTAGCAGCCACTGGTCTGGAGGAACACCAGCAACTTTTCATCAAGAATGGACTCGGCACTCGTGACTGCATAGTTTACAATTTTACTTTTAAAAACAAAAATACACATGGAAAATTTCTATATTGCCGCACATCTCTGGTTTTAATATGAGCGTTTCTAAGAAAATAGAATTCATTTAGCATAGTTTCACTTTTTCTTGGGTCCTTTATCTGGTTGTTAATTGGGGAAGGATGGAGAATACTTTGTGCTTTGTTAGTGTGTGGAAGGTATCCATACACATCCATTGCATGCTGCTGCTACAGTCACTACATACTACAAATGACCGACATATGTTTGCTTTTAGGTAAAAATCCAAGAAAAAATATGTATTTAAAATAATGTTTGAATATTTGCAATGACTAAGTGCAAATCATCATTTGTAAGTATTAACTGCTTATAAAGTAAGTAAGCAACTGTGAAACAATTTGTGATGAGAATTTATTTGACATGTGTTATTTTATATTCGTGGATAAGTGCCCAACTTGTAAGCACATTATGGAAACTGCAAAAAAGTGTTTGTTTACTGAAGGTTGCACAACTTCATCACTATAGTAATAGGCAGTGGTTAATAAATATTTTTTAATCAAATGTATTAATTTCTTGTATATATTGTATGAATTTTATATAGGTGTGGCAGATTCACATTCTTTTTTTTTTTATGTTTTAGGAGTTGCATAGTTAATTACAATATTTCTTTTAAATATAATTTATTTTCCTCTTTTTTTTTAATCAAATGTATTGATTTCTTGTATAAACTATGTTCCTCTCATACATGTGTAGTGCGCTGAAGCCTTGGACTTTATAAGACTTTTTAGACTCACCCTCACCCATATTCTACTGCTACCTATTTCAATGCTTGAAATTTTAAGGCCTCTTAAACCTGACATAGCTTAGTGCCTAAGGTCAAAGTCTGGTCCTGCTCGTATTTGTTTGGCAGAGATTAATGAAGAATTACAGATTTATAATTATAATATTCCTTTAAACTGAATTTCAATTTTTTTTCCTTTACACTGAACTTTATTTTTTTATGTATTTTATCAAATGCATTCATTTCCTGTATACACATGTGTGTATATTCATTTTATACACATGTATACCATCATAGAAGCTAGGACGTTGTGTAGTTTTAAAAATAAGTTGGACGAATACATGAGTGGGTGTGAGTTGGACCTGACTAGCTTGTGCAACTAGATCAGATTCCGTGTTCCTCCCTTAAGTGACTGACTGACCTGACTAGGTTAAGGCATTGGCTGAAGCCGGTGGACCTGCCTCGCATGAGCCAGTAGGCCTGTTCCAGTGTTCCTTTTTTATGTTCTTATAAAGTTTCTAAGAAATTGCCTTTTTTCCTCAGGAGTTTTGTAATGAAATGTACAAAATAACCATAATTACATAGCCTATCCAGTTGGCTAATAAAACAAATGCTACTTATAAGGTCAATGACCTAAACTGTTAATTCTCTTGATCAAAAGATCATGATTCAACCTTAAGTCTGGGTGAGAGAATTATCACTACTATACAGCTTTTTTTTTTTTTTTTTTTTTTTCAACAAGTCGGTCGTCTCCCACCGAGGCAGGGTGACCCAAAAAGAAAGAAAATCCCCAAAAAGAAATACTTTCTCATCATTCAACACTTTCACCACACTCACACATTATCACTGCTTTTGCAGAGGTGCTCAGAATATAACAGTTTAGAAGCATATACGTATAGAGATACACAACATATCCCTCCAAACTGCCAATATCCCAAACCCCTCCTTTAAAGTGCAGGCATTGTACTTCCCATTTCCAGGACTCAAGTCCGACTATATGAAAATAACCGGTTTCCCTGAATCCCTTCACTAAATATTACCCTGCTCACACTCCAACAGATCGTCAGGTCCCAAGTATCATTCGTCTCCATTCACTCCTATCTAACACGCTCGTGCACGCTTGCTACTTTGATAAAATATTCAGTCATGAGTATTTTAATACCAATGAGTGATGCATTTTAAACAAATGGAAAATTCCACTTCCCTTGACTGATTTTTATTGAAAAAATATGAACCCACCACACTTGCATAAAACCAGCATACAGCATACATTATACATCATACATTGTACAGCACTCAGTATAAAATACACTATAGTGTAATGCATTTGTAAAAGAAACAGTGGAGAAAAACAAATCATTAAAAATCACTTAGAGCTACCTTGGCTGTAGTTGTTGTTGTGGTTGTTGCAATTAAATGTGCAATGTTGATGGTGGTGCTGTTTTTAGCCTCTGATGTGAACTTCTCCCTCATAACACTATCCTAATAGTGTTGCTTACACTCATTTTCTAAATATATAAATGCACGAAATTGCAAATAATGAAACACTGATACAAAAGGTTCAATACAGAGCTAAACTGTGCCAGTTCAATAGTGAAAATCACATATATAATTTTTATGGTGAATAATCCCATCTAATTAATAAACATTTGTTGTTACTATATGAGCACATGTCTTAGTAAAATAACACAGTATAAAAAAATTGCATGAGCTCAAAGGTTGGTGTTCAACTGACACAGGAGAGTAAGTGGCAGTGGAGTATAGTACAACATATATATAACCTCCACTTTTTTCTATGTCAGTTATGGCAATCATAATTTTTTCCTCACCAATAAGAAAATTTTCTGACCAGACAATGATTGCTTGATAAGTTTTGTATCCAAACTAACAATGGAGTGAGCTTAGTGCTAATTTGGATAATACTGCAGAATGTTAGTTAACTGAGCTATCACCGGTAAGGTGTTTGTTTTTCCAGTAGGTCGAGTTTGAAAATGTTTATAATTTTTCATGGTGCCCTGGGTGGTGAGATTGCATGTAATTTTCTTGGCATATTGTGCAAGCCCCTTTTTGCAATAAAAACAAAATTGAACTGGCAGTATGCAACACTATATTACTGTTATGAATCTGGGGTTATTATTAATGTTATAACACACAAGTCAAATGTCAGATGTAGCTTATGCAAGTTATTTCCACTGTTATCTGCCTGGCACAACCTGCTCCTTTCCTTGGGAACATACCATGCTTGTTTATTTCTATTCACTTCGACTATTATACCTGAGTGGTCCTATCACAATACTCTTTATTTTATGGCATGGAGAAATATTCCATGTTTATCTGAAAAACCTTCGCAACAATTTTACGTCTCCCAATTTTTTTTTTTTTAATCATCCCCATACTCACACAAACTTGTAATTGTGGGGAGTAAAGAAGTTGAATGAGCCGAGCAATGTCACACTGGAAGTAGGCTCTATAGAGGGATTATAATAACTATGACAATACATTTATATCACTTGGTCAAAAATAAAGAAATTAGTTTGTTCCTTTGAGTTTTTATGTTAAAAACCTAGGCAACAACATCATCTGCCACCCAACACTAGAGCTAACCTGTTCCCACTTCCTCATAAACTCAAATAGGGAATTACAGTACATTCAGCAACTTCTGTCTTATTGAGCTGCACAAATGTCATACTAGCCATTTTTTATCTATTCATTTCACTAGAGGAAGAAGGGTTCATACTCTCCACATAAATGTTTAAATGTTTCTTTCAATATCAGAGCTCCTGTTTAATACACAACTGTCTTCTCGAGAAGTCTCAAAGTCTTGAAAAGTCATTTTAATGAGCTGCACAAGTCACACAATTTTTGACTGAGTCACTATACTCAATGTTCATGTCATTCACTCCATAATCTCAGCCATAAGAGCTTCCACTAAAAGCATTCAATATTTTCATGAACATCAAATATTCTTGGTTTGCCCTCTGACTTTTGGTATCACTGCAGTCCTTTTGGATACTATGGCCAAAGTGCAATGACAAGGGAAAAAAAGGAGAAGATACAAGGTAAAAACAAAGACTGCTATGATCAATGAGAAGAGCTGTATGTCACTAAGGTGTTAGGTTGAAGGGGGTAACCTCTTAACAGTGAGGCACTGAGCAGTGTTAGCACATTGCACTTGGGTGCCCCCCACACATTTTCTCTCAAGGTAAGTTGTGAAACACTGTTTTGCTGGAAATTGTCGGAGATGCCGGTTATACTCATCAACAAGCATTCAGTGCAGCTGAATTACAGCACTGTCTTTCATAATGGAAGAGAAAAATGGAAGTGATGTGCTTAGCTAGTACATCAGAACATGGTGCCAAACACAGTTCTCCTCTCATGCCAAGACATGTATCATGGCTTATACTGTGAGAAGATGGTTACATCACTGGTATAATATGTAGATGAAATTGGGTCATTTTTCCCTTTTGAGTTTTAAAGACTTAGGCAAGAATACCAACATATGTCTCTTGACTGCTCACCACCATGTGCTGCTAAATAAATTTCCATCACATTTTCATACAAAACCACAACATGCAGCATACCAACCTATTATATATGGTGAGTGTTACATGTATGGATGGCCGCTTGGCGAGTGTTAAACTACTTTTGTACTATGTTTGTAAGTAAATTTGAGATCAAATATTTCCTTTTGTAAAACTTTGGTTTTTCCCTCTAAGAGTTTTAGGACTCCCATTTATTCCAGCCCCCATAACCATCTGAAATCTTGGAACCAATCCCAATCACTGAGCAGCGAGGTATGTCTCTACTCTCAAGTGGAAATATTTTCAAACCTTGCAGAAGATATTTAAATGCCCCTTTAAATCAAAGAGGCTGTTATATGTTTAACATATATTTTGGTTTTGTTTACTTTTTTTCTGTGATATCTCAAACTTCGTGTCATGTCATGTATACAGCAAGACTTAATTTCAGTTAGAAAATAATTAAGAAAAAGTGGTTAAATCTAGTCGCTGGGTTTGTGGCCACATTATGTCCAAGCATTCCACATAACTCAGTGGTTAACATTACGTCCAGGCATTCCATTTACCTAGAATATATCTTAGCAACAATACAAATCTTTATTCTTGTTGAAAGTGAGGAAAGACTATTTTTCTAGCCTCTTATAAAGGCAAAAAATATAAAGAACTTAACCTCAATGGAAATAAAATGGTCTAAAAATATTATAGGTGAAGAATTGGAGCTGCAATTAATTTTCATAACAACAGAATATTAAAAAAGGGATGAGAGGTAACACAAACCTGAAGATGCATATTAAAAATTTGTGACCCAACAACTCTTTAGGCAGAAATATTATAAAAATTAGAGTTCATATGTCAAGGAGTGTCCTGATAAAGAGTGAAAGCCTACATCAGTGAGCCAGTTGCTTAACTTTTTATGGTATATTTGACCTAAAGCTAAGCAAGAATAAGCTTTACTTGCAAATCTGGCACAGGCAAAACAAATTGTTACCACTTTTTCTTGATCTTCTTGGGAATGAATTGTCCAGCAAAAGCCTTAGGGTTATATCTCAAGTGAATATATTGCAACGAAAAACATTTACTAACTGTAAATTTCAAAAAATGTTGTACACCCAAATTCAAAGAATTTGGCAAAGAAAAAAGTTTATATATCTTCCAGCAAAATACAGTATATCCAAATTCACAAAACACAATGTAAATTTAATAATGAAACAGGAATACAAATGAAAACAAAATTCGAGATACTGAATTTCAAAATACAAAGTGTACGAATATGCTAAGCAACCACATTGTCATGTGGGAAGCTGTCTTAACGAAGCTCAGTTAAATACCACCAAATATAAAAATCTCCTTTATTTCCACTTCTAGACTGACTCTGGGAAAACAATGTTGACCCTTAAAAAATACTGATCCAGCAAAACAATATAAACAATTGCATTTGAACTAAATTGGGAGAAATAGTACACTTATGGAGAACTAAAAACCATGGCTACCTAACAAAAATCCTTTTTTGGTTTTGCAAGCAAAGCCTTTTTTGTTTTTTTACATCTAACATTGTAGTTTACCACAATAATAATTTCATTCTAATGTTTCCAAGGATACAAATTTCGAAAGAAAATTTAAGTGGGTATCTAAAAATCACTCAATGTTATCCAACGTTTTCAAGATGAAGATGAATTTTCCTTCAATGACACTGAGCTTCAGTGCTCGGACACCCTCATACCATTCTTCATACAAGAAGTCAAATCTGTAAATCCTGATATAAAAAATATATATAAAATTAAATGATAATAAGTTGTAAAAAACAATAATAATTGCAAATTACACCAATGCAAGAAAAAGTAAACCATATACAAAATTCCTGGTGTTGACCTGACTTGACCTCTCTAGCAACAGTTAAAATGACCTTGAAAATGAGCTATGAATGTAGTCTTTTCTTCATCACTGGACACCAAGTTAATACTTTAGTTAATAATTATCACATCTTTGAATGACTCGCTAATTTAATAGTGCCTCATTTCCACATTGTTCAATGCTATCACATTCTTATCCAGGTACTTGGTCAACCACTGCAGTATAATACATATAAAGAATACTGAATGGGATCTGTCAGGAAACATATGCTAAATCTTGAAGGTTAATGAGAATTACAGGTACTGTATATATATATAAGCAACTGTTATACAATATACTATATAGTTTTCACATTTTTCATACAGCAGAGAAGTGGATTACTGTTCACTCAATAATTTACACCTGTATGAGAAAAACATTGCTCGGATGGTCTCGTGTCAAGCCACACCAGGCATATGGAGTAGTTACTTAATATAGACTAGAATGTGTTAGCCTTTCCGGCTGTATTAAAAAACAAAAATACAACAATCATCTTTAAAATCCCTTAAAAGAAAGTAGCCACTGTCTGCATTTTAATATTCTGCTGACTATACATAAAATTATGTAAAAGGAAAAATAGCCACATACAATATTTTAGCCTTTTTCTATTTATAAACAATGCTGCTTAAAATATCACTTTTCAAGGCAAAATGGCTTTACTATGGGTTATAGAAAAATCAGTTGGTCTACTTGCATAAAACAGAATTATCTACAGGTAAACACTAAAGCCAAGGAGAAATAATATAAAAATGGAAACCTAAAAGCTTGCAAACATATGTTATTAACATGCAGTGCTCTCTTGTCCTAACAATAATATGTCTCTTCCACACTACTGGCAGCTTAACTCAGTATCCACATTAATTTGGAATATTACATTAAATCACACACACTCAACAGGGCATGTGAGATTTTATATCACTGAACTTCTGAAATACATCAGATGACTTACATTTCAAAATAATATACAAAGTAAGCAGCTGGTCGATTACCTTAAGAGGCGCACTTTCATTAACCTCCCTGAATAACAATTTACAAAACACCAACTGACTGATGGTTTGGCTGAGTATGAGTATAGGGAAGCTCTTGTCCAAGTGATGCCTGGCTACCACCCCTGCTACTGCCTTTACTGCTGCTCATTGTGCTAGCTACCTTTGTATGCCTCAGGGAAGCTGCACTCATATTCCGAGAGGGAGCTGATGTTACAATTACACTTTTAGTGAGGAATGGTTGCTGTTGCTCCAGGGTATCCATGTGAAGAGGTAAGGAATGTGATAGGCTCTCATCCAAGTAAGCTTCATCTTTGATAACTTGCCCATCTTCCTGACTCTCATCACATCCCATGATGCGATCATCATACAGTGAAAGACGAGGATTCATAGGTCTGCGGGGGGTTTTCACACGCTGCTTTGCTTTCCTTAATGGTGGTGACTCTTCAGTGTCCAATCCAGGATTACTCTCTTGGCAGTCTGTACTTTGAGTGTCTTGATTAATCTCCTGATTTAACTGTTGTTTTTCAGATTTATTTGAAAGACTATGGTGTGACCTATCTGGTAGAGTAAGTGTTGTAGGTCTCTTTAATTTCTCACAAGAATTATCACTGTCCACAAAACTAGCACTATTTTCGCTTGATTTATTAAGTCCACTATCATTTGATCCTTGCTTTGATCTAATTACTGGTGCATAGCCATTCTGTAGATGCAGTTTTGCAATACCAATCTCGGTTTCGGCAATGTAATTTGGCAGTGATGAATGCTGTGTATTTAGTGAATGATTTGGCGAAATTATAGTATGAGGGCCACCATTTGTGAGGAGCACCTCAGTTTGCACGGGTAGATGTGCTGCTGTGACTGTCACTGACTGTGTTGCAGTCAGTGGTGTTGGTGGCTCTGACAGACTACTACTAGTGGGGGTAACTAATATCTCTTGTCTCTCTTCATCTTCAACATTGTGGTGCCGTCGCCTTGGAATTAATGCTTTCAATCGATCTTCCCAAGTATTACGCCATCGTCGCCATGGGCTACCTTTTCCACTACTATAACCATGATCACGATTGTCTTCCTCTCGTACAGCTGTGTTTTGTCGTTTAGGTTGATTATCAATAGAACGAACTTCATTCTGTACATATGGTATTGGCTGAACTAAGGTTGGTGGGGGAAGTGCAGGGCGTGGCTGTGACACTACTGAAGCAGTGTTAGAGTGCCCATTCAACAAAGGCATCATTTGTTCATTAGTAAACATATGAGACTCTAAAGCCTGTTGAACATCCAAGGCATCCATCAAGTTCACAGAATTGATAGCATTAATAGAATTTATATCACTGCCTTTCAAATGATCTATGAGGATATTGCCTGAAACACTGAGTTCTTGGGGCACTTCTCGAATCAGGTTGCGTTCCATGCAAGGATTGCGGCCCTGGTGTGGCTGGAGAGGTGGTATGGGAGGCTGCAATGTTCCAATCAGTTGATTCTTACCTGAAATTAAGAAATTTTTCATCTTAAACTAAATATACATATTACATACAAGTGAAATAAACACTGGTCAATGACATAAGCAGAATATGCAGTACAGTACTCTTTTCTTTAAGTGGGGTTGCTTGTCCTATATTTAATAAACCTATTTTTTTTTTTTTTAACAAGTCGGCCGTCTCCCACCGAAGCAGGGTGACCCAAAAAGAAAGAAAATCCCCAAAAAGAAAATACTATCATTATTATTCAACATTTTCACCTCACTCACACATAATCACTGTAAAATTAAATAAACCTAATACATATTATAAATTCACTATTTTTAGAGAAACGGCTGGTATGTTTGAGCAAAATGACCAGAAAAATCTTTAGTTTTGTAGGCCACATATGACAATTTCATTTTTTAAGTTTATAAGACCATATAAGATTAGCAGCACTGGCCTATACGGGGGTAATGGTAAAAAAAATTCTGAAACTGAAGTGTATTATGAAGCCTGAAAGCAAATCTCTATGTATACAATGGGGCTGCAACCTTGTAGAGAACAAGCTCTTATAGTAATGAAGAATTTCATGACTATTAACTATTTGTAGAGTGTTTGTGAGTCAAAGAAATTCAACCCATGGGTCACATATGGCCCATGGACCTGTAGCTGGACTAACCTGTGTTAGATCATTATTTAGTGGTAGCTATAGAAAGACTTAGATGTAGGCAGGACACAAAATAAGAATAGTGTCAGTGGGGAGAAAAAAAGAGGGAGAAAGGTACAGTAGAATGAAAGTGACAAGGAGGCTGAGGAGGTATGGTGTGGATTTAAGAATGCCTTCCACCTCAGCCCAACAACAACAATTCACCTCAGCTCAGTAGGGCCACACCAACCCTCTACATACATGCTAAGACCTACAAGTATCACCAACAATTCAAGAGGAGAACAAATTGTTTTAGGTTATTTTGGGTGTTTTTTTTTTAATGTCTCAGGAGTGTAACCCTTTCTTTCCCATATGCTCATTAATTCACATGACATGGATTTCACTTAAAACATAGTTTTCAGGAGCATAAGCACCATGTTATGTGAGAGTCTACTGTAGTTAGATAAAGGTACAAAGCAGTTTGTTGGATTTATGAATTTGAAAATGACACATAATAAGATGACTGGGAGCCATGTGAATAGTGTTACAAATATTTTGAATAGGTAGAAAGTTGTTAAAATCTGTAAAACTATTTTATGAGAAGAGTGAGGTTCAGGTTAGGGTGTATACAAAAAACATTGGCCCTTTCCTGGAAAAGTGGGTTTTATACAGGAATGTGTAATATTACCAGGGTTGTTTAATAAACTTACAGATGAGGTTATGAAAGAAATAAGTACAGTGCTAGTATTAGGGAAAGACAGAGGTTTAAAAGGTAATAAAAGGTTTAAAGGTAATAAAAGTATTAGTCAGAGGGCTGAAGAGGGTTTGTTGAGGTGGTTTGGTCATTTAGAGAGAATGGATCAAAGTAGAATGACATGGAGAGCATATAAATCTGTAGGGGAAGGAAGGCGGGGTAGGGGTCATCCTCGAAAAGGTTGGCGGGAGGGGGTAAAGGAGGTGTTGTGGGCGAGGGGTTTGGACTTCCAGCAAGCGTGTGTGAGCGTGTTAGATAGGAGTGAATTGAGACAAATAGTATTTGGGACCTGATGAGCTGTTGGAGTGTGAGCAGGGTAATATTTAGTGAAGGGATTCAGGGAAACCAGTTATTTTATATAACTGGACTTGAGTCTTGGAAATGGGAAGTACAATGCCTGCACTCTAAAGGAGGGGTTTGAGATATTAGCAGTTTGGAGGGATATATTGTGTATTTTTATATGTATATGCTTCTAAACTGTTGTGTTCTGAGCACCTCTGCAAAAACAGTGATTATGTGTGAGTGAGGTGAAAGTGTTGAATGATGATGAAAGTATTTTCTTTTTGGGGATTTTCTTTCTTTTTTTTGGGTCACCCTGCCTCGGTGGGAGACGGCTGACTTGTTGAAAAAAAAAAAAATACTTCTAAACTGTTGTATCTGGGCACCTCTGCAAAAACAGTGATTATGTGTGAGTGAGGTGAAAGTGTTGAGTGATGATGAAAGTATTTTCTTTTTGGGTCACCCTGCCTCGGTGGGAGACGGCCGACTTGTTGAAAAAAAAAAAAAAAATTTTGTCAAAAGGTAATAAATCTGATATAAGTTTGGAAAAATGTGTGAGAGGAGGCTGAAAGTAAAGAGAGTAAAGGGAAAGTGATATGTGTAAAATGTCTAGGTAATGAGTGACTGGGTATCAGATTGAAGGTACTGTATTTAGATATCTTGGAGTGCACATGTTGGCAGATGGGTTGATGCAAGATGAGGCTAATCACAGTATGGAAGAGAAAAAATAGGTAGCTAAAGTGCTGAAGCATCTGCATTATAAAATTTTTAATAACTGGATGGAAAAAAAAAAAAGTGGACATGTTAGAGTACAGTGGTGCCAACAACATTAATACCAAAGATTCCTCATTCCTTGAAATATTTTACAAAAGCTATACAGATCTGTATTGACTATCTTACCAAGACATGCATCATATGAGGGTTCTGACGGGGAACCAGTGATAGTCGTCTCTACAGTGGCTTCAGACACGCTGGATTCCTTATCTCGTGGAGTGATGGCATTGCTGATGACCTTTCCTCCATTTCCCACCAGACCGCTGAACATTTCTCCCTGTCTCTGTGTTACCATCAAGTTGGACATTGGGTTCATTGTTGGACTCACACCATTTACACCTAAGCTTGCTGAAAAAATATTAAAAAATGATCAGAAAAAAATCTTGCCAAAGAAAGACCTCAATATCATACAATAACCTACATATACACTGCAATCTAAAATTTATAGTTAACTTATTTACCCATACACTGCATCATTAAAAACTCTCAATACAATTTATTTTATGAAAACTAAAAGTCACAATACAGTGACTGGTACAATTCACAACTAACTCCCAAATTTGGATATGAAACTCATTATTTCAGTCTGTTTAAGACCATTACAGGATTTGCAACTTCAAAATGGATCAGGACATACTGAAATGTTATATATTATGTTACAGTAATAACAGTATTAATCCGACTCTTAATCACCAACATATGTACAGTATGTATTTGGGTAACATTAACTTATCCAATCCCAGTTTATTACAATGTTTGCAATCAAATGTTAACTTCAGCCTCAAATTATTTAATATATAGTTAATATAAAAACAGTGACCTATACCTCAGAGGTACAGTGCTTAGCTCACAAACCAAAGGGCCTAGATTTGATTTGCAGGTTGGTGGACATGTAGGCAAGTCCTACACATGCTGCTCTTGTTCTCCTAGCAGTAAATAAGTACCTAGGAATTGGTCAACTGTTGTGGATGGCTTTTGGGAAGGGAAAGACAGTATATCTTAGATATGACTGGACTTTAAGATGAGATAAGGTAGAATAACAGCTCTCAAGTCTGTAAATTTTAAAAATAAAAAGCAGATGTGTAAACGTACTATTTTATACTTTTCAAATACTTTTCACGGGTGTCAAGAGTCTGTCTACTTTCACAACCCAACCCTGCACTAGGCTTGTTTAGTACAGTGTACTTGCCTGGTCAACCAGGCTGTTGCTGCTGGCAGCCTGCTAGTCCATATGTCCATCATGGTCTTGTCAAATATACCATTACAAAGGTCAGAGTGCAACAATGAATGGTCATATGAATTATTTGAGCTATGGTACCCTGACCTTTTATTCTTAATATTCTCATAAGGCCAGACTATACTCAGAAACAAGAGGAGTCTGTTAAATCCAAAATTGCCTGTTATTCTCATGGTTCGCTGGGTAAATTAATTTTGAATTTTATGGACTTTGTCTGTTAGATCAGAATTATCCATTATTTTTAGACAATTCCAATTTGACGGACAAAGTCTGTTAAATCCAGACTTATTCACTATTGTTACAATCCTCTGAATAAATTCATTTTTGGATTTAACAAAATTCATCCATTAAATCCAATAATTGTCCTTTACTGTTACAATCACAATTTGGAATTAATGCACAATCACTTTAACATACAACCCCCTTCCCCTATTAGTCTGTTAAACTGAAGGTTTACTGTACTGTACATTTATAAATAAATGCCTCTAAGTAAGACATATATGACATACATTTATATCTGTCCCATAGAACAGGCAACTCTGCCAGTCGTCCCTCAACACACATAGCTGAGAGTCGTGCTTCAGCATCATGGTCCCAGCAATCTTCAATTGTTTCTTTAAGCAAGCGAATTGCAGGGTTTGTGTCCTTCCACACTGACGGGAACAGTGGCCGAGCCTTGTTGCGAGTTACTAGAACTTGTACTTGTTCGAACGTTGGATGAAGACCTGAAAAAAAGACAATTTTACTATAATTTTATATTCCCCAGATGTTCAATTTTATGTCTTGTTTATTTACATAAACAAGACATAAAATGACAGACTCATACAAGTGAATTAAAATGTTAGTGCTTTTTCTTTAACCTTAACCATACCCCAACTTCCCTAGCACTTGAGTAATTCAAGGTTTTATGTAAAAAGGTTAAAACATACTAATACTAGCAAGGCAGTGGGCTCTACCTCCTGTAACACCATCTACAGCTGCCACACCTCACTTCCGGCATAAGTATAAAAGCTCCACCCAACTGCTTCTACTTAGACTAATCAAAGCTACAGAAGTGAACAACTTCCATCTAGACTGAGGGATTGAACATCTCAAAATCTCCACTTCTTCAACTATCTCCAATACATTAGTCACCTCTGTATCTGACTGAAGATGCCTATTGTCCAGGCAAAACATTTTGGCAATAAAAAGACCTAAATGTTGCTCTTGTCTTGTTCATTCACTTGTTGTTGTACACCATTAATATACTGTAATGATACCAATCTTAACATGTTACTTGTAAGCAATTATTATTTTAAAATACCCTGAATTGTATAATGCATGCACAATTGTAATATGCTCTTATCCGAATCCAGTTACAAATACATGTATTTAAAAATTATAAATAACAGAGTCAGAATTCACCTACTGTGGATTCCCTCACAGTGGTCTTCAAATGTATACAGAAGTGACATTTGGCAAGCATGTATGCCCCCAATAAGGGGTCAATTATAACTGGGCTGCTTGGTATCTTAATAAGCTATTTACTGTTTCCCAGATGATGAGTGTGGATAAATTTATAACATGCACATTACTGCACACTGTCAATGCTCAATCTTCAATGGAATTACTATGAACATTGCTGTTATTATTCTCATTTTAAAATATGACTAAATTCATTATTCTTATCAACTAATTCCTGAATTTTTGGAGCATGCTTAGTTAACAAAAATTTGGGGCCCAGCCCCTGGATTCATTGTGCTTCTCAGCATTAAAAAAAAAAAAAAAAAAAAAAAAAAAAAATCAGCAGAAGTTCAAATGTTAGTTTCAATGTTTAACTTATGTAACATAATAAATTTGTTTCATATTTAATACATTGCCTGTAATGTGGACAAACATAAGCCTATTACTGTTTTAATCATCATTCGAAGGGTTTAAAAAATTAAGGAAGGAAACTGTGATATTAAAAGAGCTCTGACTTATGAAATTACTTTTTGTAATACTGTTAATACTGTACAAAACTACATAAGGTAAAGTTATCTACAGTAACAAAAATTAAAGCTACTTGCATAAGCAGACACAAAACAAATGTACTAAATACCACATCACCAAGTTAGAATAACCAATATCAGTTTATATATATGGTAAATTGCCAACATCAAAAAAAAAAAAAGCTTCCTGAAATTTTCATGAGGCTCCTACATGTACCCCTGTAATTATAAAAACTATGACTGAAAACCCAAGACAAATTTCATTATTCACATAAATGTTCTAAGTAAGGATTTTTTTTTTAACACACTGGCTGTATCCCACCAAGATAGGATGACCCAAAAAGAAGGAAGCCCATTCACCATCATTCACTCTTACCAGATGTGTGCAGACATTACAATTCAAATGACCATCTGAACTGCAACATCTCCACCCCTCCAGAGTACAGGTACTGTACTTAGTGAGAGGTATATACAGCATATTGAGTGTATTAATGTTGGTAGAATTATCGACAATATGTTAGGTAAAAGGACACAAGTGCAACTAATGTGACATTTTATTGTTGCCACAGTAAAATGTCACATTAACCCTTAAACTGTCCAAACGTACATCTACGTTTTTTCAACATTTGAAAGTATGTAAAAAAACGTAGATGATCTTTTTTTTTTTTTTACGTTTGAAAATGTGTAAAAAACTTTGATCTACGTTTTTTTTTGTTATATTCGAAAATATTTAAAAAAACGTAGATCTACTTTTGGAGCACTACACATGTGAACGTAAATTTGTTTGGACAATTTAAGGGTTAATTGCACTTGTGTCCTTTTACCTAGCATAGTGAATACCTACCAATTTCAGCCTGGAAAGGCAACTTGTATGGGGGAGTTTGAAGGCCCTGGTAAAGATCATGGCAACGTGCTGCACACTCCCACAACACTAGACCCAGGGCATAAATGTCTATCTGCTTCAAGGCTGCTTCACAATCCCTAAGATTTACTGCTCCTTCAAGAACTTCTGGAGCCATATACCTTAATGTTCCAACCTAAAAATAAATAATTTCATGTATTACAAACTAATTACTAATGACATTTAAGAATACCACTGCACATGAGCAAATTCACAAAATGTAATAATCCCAAGTCTGTGAAATTTGCCAACAAATCACTTTGTGTGACACTTGCAATTATTTTTTTTTTTTTTTCAACAAGTCGGCCGTCTCTCACCGAGGCAGGGTGACCCAAAGAGAAAGAAAATCCCCAAAAAGAAAATACTTTCATCATCATTCAACACTTTCACCTCACTCACACATAATCACTGTTTTTGCAGAGGTGCCCAGAATACAACAGTTTACAAGTATATACGTATAAAAATACACAATATATCTCTCCAAACTGCCAATATCCCAAACCCCTCCTTTAGAGTGCAGGCATTGTACTTCCCATTTCCAGGACTCAAGTCCGGTTATATAAAATAACCGGTTTCCCTGAATCCCTTCACTAAATATTACCCTGCTCACACTCCAACCGATCATCAGGTTCCAAATACCATTTGTCTCCATTCATAAAATGCACTGTTACAATTAGTAGACTTTGATGGAAACTTCCCAAAATATGGCAAGATATTAGATTCATATTAATATACAGCAAACAAATCAAATCTGAACTCACATCTGTCAATGATGATGTCTCTGCATGCTGCTCTTCACCATTAATAAAATATTTGGCTCCTTGCGTATGAATAGCAAAGCCCAAGTCAGATACAACGCACAATAAATTTTCAGTAAGCAGTAAATTGCGGGTGTTGAAGTCCCTATGGCTAATGCATGGTTTTATGATATCTGAAACAAAGTACAATACAGAGAAATTCAGTATTGCAATTCATTCTGTTAAATGTTGGCATTCAGGAAAATGGAAATTTTTTAAGAAATTGTCACTATCAAAAACTTCCCCAAAGTTCATCTTCGAGAAAGCATCACTGAGCCCAATATTATGTGACATATCCCATTTCTGGTATATTATTCAAAATAGAATACATACTTGGACAATCAACATATATGAATCAGTGTCATATGAACCTTATGGGATAGCACTTAGTTATGATCATAATAATAATAATCAACATATTTGAAGATTTTACAAGAATATATACTTAAGTAGCTGCTAAATTTCCATTTTTTTTTTCCAGAAATGTGAACATTTTTATCCATTTTTTCAGCAAGCATATAGTATAGCAATGTTTCCAAGCATGCCAGCTTGTAAAGAGATTAATTCTGAACAAAAGATTAATATATAGTATTAATATCTAAAAGTTAAGCCTATATTTTTTAAAGGAAATACCAACACTTACACAAAAAAAAAAATTACAGTATATAAAATTTAATACTCTACAGACGTTAAGGAAAATAACAAATACAGTACAGTGTAATAACAAATTCCAAATTATGAAAAAAAAAAAAAAAAATTGAGTGAGGGGACTGGGGCCTTTAAAGCTTCCATCCCCAAAATAACATGTCTAAATCAAGCTTACTTTATAGCTTTGACACTGTATACTAACACACTGCTCACCATTCACAATACTGCATTATAGACCATGCTTACATGAAATTCTTTTGTAAATTGTAAAACTACATTGTAGCGAGAAAAAAGTATCCAATAGTTTTAACATGCTCTAACCTCTAGTCTTTTCAATTCCAGAAAGTTTTTCATTACTTTGATGCAGTAATTTGCCTTCAAATACAGTACCACATAATTTTTGCCTTGATCCAAGGGCCGAATCATAGACATGAAGTTAAGTGAAATGGTTTTTTAACACACCTACCATCTTCCACCAAGGTAGATTTTCACCATTACAGTGAACCCTCGGTTATTGACCGTAATCCATTCCCGAAGGTCGTCCTAAAACCGAAATGGCCGAAAACCAAAATAATATTTCCCATAAGAATTAATGTAAATACAATTAATCCGTTCCAGACACCCAAAAATATTAACAAAAAACGCATTTTTTAAAGATTAACTACAGTTTACATACACAAAACAATGAGAAAGAAATATAAAGCACTAATTTTACTAATAAATTAACATTACATACCTTTATTGAAGACTCTTGCTGGCATATGCATAAAGGTGAGGAGGGGTCACTTTCCTTCTTTGTCTTTTACTGCCACTAGGACCAGCTTGAGAGTCACTGCATCCTTGTCCCACAAAAACTGTCCACTCCCTGCCTCCCTGCTACACTCCCTCCCTGCGTGCTACACTCCCTGCCTTCCTGCTACACTCCCTCCCTGCGTGCTACACTCCCTGCCTTCCTGCTACCCTCCCTCCCTGCGTGCTACACTCCCTGCCTTCCTGCTACACTCCCTGCATGCCTGCTACACTCCTTACCTCTATGCCTGCCTGCCTTGAATTCTATCATGTTTCTCACTTTCTTTACTAAAGGAACTTTACTAGGAACTTTCTTTGGACCCATGGTTGCTTATTTCGCAGTTGCACTCAATCAATAACCACATAAAACAATGGATTATAGCGAAATGTTTGGATGAATGTGTGGAGGCTTCCTCACTCACCCAGAGACAAAGCCAGACTGACTCACAAATGCAGCGGAGCGGCAGGTGGACACGTCCAATACGGCTGATAACCGAAGTAACGGCCGATAACCAGGATAGAATTTCGGCCAAAATGGGCGAAAACCGAATTGGCCGATATCCGGAACGGCCGATAACCGAGAGTCCACTGTACTCACTGCATCACTGTCTTGCTGGAGAAGTGCTGACATCACAGCTCAAATGCCACTCCAAACTGCAGTATCCCCACCTCTCCTTCAGAGTGCAGGCACTGTACATTCTACCTCCAGGGCTCAAATCTGGCTAACCAGTTTCCTTGAATCCCTTCATAAATGTTACCTTGCTCACACTCCAACAGCACGTCAAATCATAAAAAAATTACTAGCCTTCACTTGCTCCTAACACACTTGTTAGATGTCTAAGCCCCTCACATACAAGACCTCCTTTGCCCCTCTCCCTCCAACCTTTCCTAGAATGACCTCTACCCCTCCTTTGCTCTGCTAGAGATTTATACACCCTCCAAGCCATTCTATTTTGCTCTATCCTATCTAAATGTCTAAGTCACCTCCATAACCCCCTCCTCTACCCTCTGGACAATGCTGTCAGTATACCCACACCTCCTAATCTCCAAACTATGAATTCTCTGCATAACAGTCACATCACACATTGCCCTCCGACACAACATCTTCACTACCTCCAGCCCCCTCCTCTCTACTATACTCTTTTACATTCCTCTTTGTGTTTCCATGGATAAGATTCTTTTGTCTCCACAGATGCCTCAATGCACCATCCACATTCGTTCCCTCATCAATTCTACTGTTTACCTCATCTTTCATAGACCCATCTGCCGACAAGTTCACTCCCAAATATCTGAACACAATCATTTCCTCCATACTCCCTCGTTCCAAACTTATATGCACTCTTTAATTACCTCAATTTTTTTGTTACTCTCATCACCTTGCTCTTTCCTATGTTCACTTTTAATTCCCTTCTTTTACATACCCTCCCATATCCATCTACCAACCATTGCAACTTCACTTCAAAGTCTCAAAAGCAGTGTCATCAGTAAAAAGCAAGTGTGAAAACTCCCACTTTGCATTAGATTCTTTATCTCTTAATCCCACACCTCTTTTTTTTACAACTCCCATCTATAAATATTTTAAACAACTATGGTGACATCATACATACTTTTATTGTATACCACTGATGAGTTCTGGGAGCCATGGCCAGGCTCACTGGGTGCTTGCCTGGTCAACCAAATTGTTACTGATAAAGGCCAACTGACCTATATATCCATCACAACCTGGATGACCTGGCACCTAATCTGAGTTTTGCTATCCTCGTAAAAACACTTAACTGCTTGAAGTAACCATCTATTTCATACACTTGCAACATCTGTTGACACATCTGCCCCATTGTTTCTCTATCCACCCTATCATATGCCTTTTCTAAATCCATAAATGCAACAAAAACTTCCCAACCTTTATCTAAATATTGTTCACTTATGTATATGCTTCAATTGTAAACAGTTGGTCTACACATCCCCTACCTTTCTAAAGCCTCCTTGTTCATCTGTGATCCTGCTCTCTGTCTTAACCTTAATTCTTCAATAATAACTCTACCATACACTTTACCTAGTACTCAACAGGCTTATTTCCCTATACTTCTTACTCCCTCCTATATCCCCTTTTCCTTTATAGGCAATGGCACTATGCATGCAATCTGCCAATCCCTAGGTACCTTTCTCCTTTCATACATTTACTAAACAAATGCACCAACCACTCCAAAACTATATCCCCACCTGCTTTTGACATTTGTCTTTATCCCATCAATCCCAACCACTTTACCCCCATTCGTTGTACCACTGCCTGCCGCAACTCCCCCCCGTCACACCTAGCTCTCCTCACTCCTAAAAGATTTTATTCCTTCCTACACAATGCATGAAATCACTGCCTCCCTCTCTTCTTCAACATTTAACAGCTCCTCAAAACATTCCCTCCATCTTCCTAATACCTCCACATCCCCATTTAATAACTCCCCTTTTGTTTTAAAATGCTATATCATTTTGTTCTCTAGGGTTTCTCAACTTATTAATCTCACTCCAAACATTTTAACATTTTTCCATTTTCTCAGCAAAATTTGTTGACAAAACCCTCAGCCACTCATTTTTTCTTTTATACTCCTTAACCACTCTTGTTTCACTCTCCATATAGTACACCAAACTCCTTGTATTAATTCTACTTTATAAAAATCTATCATATGCTAATTTTGTCTCCCTTACTATGTATCTACAAAAACATTGCTGGCAACAAATTTTTTAACAGCTCAATGAGCACTATAGCCGTCAAACAAGAGTAGAATCTTACTCATTAGGAAGCAATGAACCAGGGCCTCTGAAACAAAGTGATTCTCAAAGCAGTCACATTTATTAGCTCAATAATGAACTTGTTGCTGGTGCAATGACAAATCCTTTAACAAGGCTGGACAAGAATTTTATCCAATAATACTAATTAATTTCCACGTTTGACTGTAGTATATTCTGTAGTGCATTCTGTTAAACCATTCCAGTGATGTATAATCCTGCCCCATCTACACTAAGGACTTGGTATTCCAATTCATTCAAATATTCCTCAGATGTTAAAGTATCTGCAAACAGCATTTTATCTGATGTTTTAATGAAAATAATAATGTACCATGATAATATACTAAACCTGCTAAGCCAGCCATAACTGTATGCACAAAAGTTGATGTGTTTTAGTAGGTGCACAACCCAATAAAAGGTATTCATGTTTCTAATAACCCCAGCCCCTTCTACCTCAATGCATGCAAAAGGAAAAATATAAATTACAGTATACATTTCTAATGCAATCATATATCAGCACTGAAGATTTAAGCTAATCAGAAGACACTTCAGGGATAAATAAACGTGAATACTGTACACAGAGCAATACATATATTCAATACAAACAATCTTTAAAATTCTTCATTTAAGCTTACCTCCTTTCCTTATGTCTGAATGTAGATGTGCAAGACCTCGTGTGGCACTTAAAACAATCTGACAAAATGTGGACCAGCTTAGTGTATTTTCTGCTAAGTAGGAGCTAAGACGACCATTGGGGCAATACGACAGCACCAGTCCATAATATATGTTACCATCAGGTCCAACACACTCACCCCCACCTGATTATTGTTAAAAGAAAACAGAACCACACTGCATTTTATACAAGAGAATAAATAATGGTTATAATTTCAAAGGACTCTAAAGATCATCCCCTAAAGCAAGGAAAGATAACAAATACAGGTGGGCCCCGCTTTACAGTGATATACCTTTGATATACCATTGAAGAGTTTTGAGGGTTTCACTACTCTCAGAGCACAACCATAGGCTAGGCTCATCTGGTGCTTGCCTGGTCAACCAGGTGGTTGCTGCAACAGGCCTGCTGCCCCACATATCCATCACAGTCTGGTTGATCTGACACCTGGTGAAGATACTTGTCCAGTTTCCTCTTGAAGGTTTCTACACTTGCTCCAGCCGTGTTTCCGATATCTTTTGGTAAGGTGTTGAATAGTCTGGGACCCCAAATGTTGATATAGTGTTCCCTTATTGTCCCCACCGTACCCCTGCTCCTCACTCGGTTTATTTTGCACTTCCTCCCATATCTCTCACTCCAGTAGGCTGTTACGGCAGTGTGCAGATTTGGGACCAAGCCCTCAAGTACTTTCCAGGTGCATATTATCATGCACCTCTCTTGCCTCTGCTCCAATGAGTACCTGTTCAAGACTTGAAGGCGTTCCCAGTAATTTAGGTGCTTTACTGGCTCAATTTGAGTTGTAAACGATCTTTGTATTTGTTCCAGCTTTGATATTTCTCCTGCTTTGAACAGGGCCATCAGCACTGAGCAATATTCTAAATGAGAGAGCACTAGTGATTTGAAGAGTGTCACCAATGGCATTATCCTCCTGGCTATCGTGATTTTTTTTTTTTTTAACAAGTCGACCGTCTCCCACCGAGGCAGGGTAACCCAAAAAGAAAGAAAATACACAAAAAGAAAATATTTTCATCATCATTCAGCACTTTCACCTCACACACATAATCACTGTTTTTTGCAGAGGTGCTCAGAACACAACAGTTTAGAAGCATATACGTATAAAGATACACAACATATCCCTCCAAACTGCCAATATCCCGAACCCCTCCTTTAGAGAGCAGGCACTGTACTTCCCATTTCCAGGACTCAAGTCTGGCTATATAAAAATAACTGGTTTCCCTGAATCCTTTCACTAAATATTACTCTGCTCTTTAAAAGAAAGGTCAGCTGACATAATTATTCCCTAAGTGTTGTATGTGTTCCTTTTGTTCTATTGGGTGAGCCCTCTTGGGTTTTGTATATAGTGTTCCTTTTGAGTTCTTCATTATTTCCATACCTAAGCAGCTGGAACTTAACACCACTGAATGTCATGTTGTTCTCCACTGCCCATTGGAAACCCCTGTAATTTTTCAGTGTCCTCTACCATAGTGACTTTCATGCTTATTTCAGTGTCATCTGCAAATGATGATACAAAACTGTGATGGGTGTTTTTATCTATGTCTGCTATGAGGATGAGAAACAGCAGAGGTGCCAGGACTGTGCCTTGGGGTACTGAGCTTTTTACCTCACTGATGCTGGATCTTGCTCTGTTTACTACTACTTTTTGTATTTTGTGTGATAAGAACCCAAAAATCCATCTGCCTACCTTCCTCGTAATGCCCATGGCCCTCATTTTGTGCGCTATCCCTCCATGCTTTGCTTTACAGTTTTGCTAATGCAACAGTTTTCAATTATATCCATTCTTCATTTGCTCAGACTTCCTATAATAAATACATGTATTCACCACTCACTATAAACTAAGGATGAAAGCTAAAGATGAAAATATTTTAAAGTAAGTAATATGTGAACTGTATATGCATTTTTTAAGCCTAGCTCTATTGCTCACTTAATATAGGACAATGTAAACATGTTATCAGGCTCTTACATATAAGAACATAAGAATGGAGGAACACTGCAGAAGGCCTACTGGCCCATGCGAGGCAGGTCCTTATCAAAACGACCTCTACCTAAAGCTACCCAAGAATTAACTCTCGTACCCAATGACACCAATCAAACCTCTCAAATATGCATTTGAGAGTGAAAAAAGGCTATGCTTCACCTTACAGCAGTAGCCTGGAATGTAACCTGCTGTATAAGTGAGGCCTGCCTGTACAGTCATTCCTACACATTTGTGGGCTTCTCTATTTGCAGTTTTCATTATCCATTTGTACTGATGAACGACCAGAGACTAGATTCAGTTATCCAACGTTTGTCTATACCCAAAACTTTTTATTATTCTGGTCACAATGACATCTACTTCTCAAAATACTAAACAATACCTCCATAAATTACATAAATCCCTTACTATATTTTTACATACCAGTACATATTAATATAGTAAGTCACATTACAGGTCATGCACCTCTACATACTGAAATAAAACTAGAATATATTAATATAGAACATTTTTAAGGACAAACTGTTAATTAATATAAACTATAAAGCTTACCTAGGTATGACAAAAGGTTGGAATGTTCCATTAGAGGAAGAGAATAAATATATTTCTCATTTTGATATGAAGATTTATAATGCTGGGGAAAAAGCTTCACTGCTATCTCCTCACTCTGTACTACAGCACGATATGCTGTACCAAATCGACCTTGACCTAAAAAAATTAAATATGCAAGATTATATTTATTCTGAAGAAACCATGAAATCAAAAGCTCATTATGAGAAAACATGCAGAATAACAAAACACCTGTTAAAAATATATATCAAATCCAACTAACCTATGATTTCCATAAATTTAATAGAATCCATATCAATACATGGGGAGCTGGGAGGGTCTTCAGCTGGTGTAGGGTGAGGGGCTGGCTTGGTTTTCCTCCAGCGTAGAGCTGTTCCTGCGATGCATATCACCAGCAATATAAATGCGATTGTCAACAGCACATACAGCACCAAAAGATAGTCTTCCAACTCATCTTTGTTTTCACTGTCATCTGTAATATAAAATACGTACCAGCTTAGTTACCAGTGTGCATGATGACAGACCTTAGGAACAAATAGTGTTATTCATTTTTATTCAATATAGAATGCTTCTTCTAACTGGCTTCAAAATATTAATGACAGTGCATTGTATAAGGATGATCATATTCCATAAATTTAATCCAAGTAGGTGAAAATCTGGAATTTTACTGAAACAGTTGAGGAAAAAAATTTTAATTTTCTTAGTATAAACTGCCCTTTGTTTTAACATATCAATCATTTCTTACCAAGGTTGAGTGACCATAAGAATAAAATGCATTCACCATCACTCATTCCCTAGCTATCTTGACAGAGAATGAGTGATGTGAATGACCCTCCAAACTACAACATCCACACTCATTCTTGGGAGTGGAGGCACTATAATTCCCAACTCTAGAACTCAGATCCAGCTAACAGATATTATTATAATAAATTATGCAATTTGCAAAGTCAGTTTAGAGATATAAACAGCCAAGCATACTGCTATTAGACAAGCTATCATTATCAGTACTATACTGTATGCACACATTTACAAACAAAAATAGTGCACTGGAAGGAAGTACACAGTATGTAGTGGAGGCAAGCTCCATACATGGTATCATGGGGAGACATGATGATACCCAAGAGACTAAGTATTAACTACAGTATGTTAATATGTCAGCTCTCTTAAAGCTCCTATATATGTACGTAGTGATTTCTTTTTTATAAATGCAAATGAAAAAGAGCATCAAAAATTGAATAGTTCATATTTTGAAGGCCTTTCCATGCATTAAATTTTGGATGTACCTTATATGTAAATCATATTCACAAAAAAATCGCACTACATAGAGGAGCTTTACATGAGAGTTCATGGTATTAAAAGTTGGGATGAAGGTCAGGAGAAGCAGTTCAACCCGGTAGAAACAAATGAATACACAGGCATCATAGTGGCCAGTAGCTGCAGCTCAGCCCAGCACTAACCTGAGTCTGGAGGCTCTGCTGGAGTGGGGCTGGACTCTGTTGCTGGTGTGACGTCTTCATTGCACATACTACCAGTGCAACAGCAGAAGTAACTATTACTTATTGAAGGGGAAGATGCCACACATGATGAGCTGTTACAGTGTGAGTACTTCCCATCCCAGCAACCTGTAATACCAAAAAACAACAAATATTACTTTGAAATTTCCTGAAAATGCTTGAAAAACAAAAACTTAAGATGTTACAAAAAGAAAAATAATTTCTCACTTGATAGGATATACCTGTGATATACATGTGATCAATTTCAAAGGGGTTTTTCTATCCTACCAGCCCAGCTTTTGGCAGAACTTCCTCACTGAGGGCTTGTTCAACCAGGCTGTTTCTGTCAGCGATCCACTGGCCCTTGATCTGGCACTTGCCAGAGGTAGTGATCCAGTTTTCTCTTGAAGACTTTTACATTTGTTTCAGAAATATTTTTGATATCTGCTGGTAGCAGACAATACTCTTTGTGCCACGGATGTTGACACATTGTTCTCCTATTGTGCCCGCAGCTACTGTGCTTTGCACCAAATTTATTTTATACTTCCTCCCATAATTTTCACTCCAGTAAGAAAATGGCCCTCCAATAACTTCCAAATGTATACAGTATTATCTGGTACCTTATTTTAAGAGCCTCAGAAGCAAGCAACAAAGATAATCAACTCCACCACACTGCCAACTCTTCAAGTCAAAGGTGCAGGAAAAGTTGCATTTCTGGGGTCTGGGAATGAATTACTATAAATTCATTAATTTTTGAGTTTCAGTTACAATAGTCTTGAGATACGATAAGTCTTCTGGAATGGATTAATATCATATGAGGTACATTAATATTGTAAGAGTTATAATTGATCCAAATACTAGTTATACTTGGGATGAAGCTATTCCTGAAGATCAGTGTGCAATTAACTCTTCAGTTAATGTCTCACTCAGTAATTGATACACCCCATTTCACTCCTTATGACACAGATAAGAGAATATCCTATAATTTGTATTCTCTGTCTGCATCTGACTGTAATGATGAAGACTATGTACGTAATGGCAAAAATATATAATCCACAAAGAATATTTGAAGGAGTAAAGGAAACCTTAGAAAAGTCTACATCAGATTTTACTAGAGCAAAAAACGATCATGTGAAACCTACTTAGATTAAGGTGGAGTCTTGAGTATACTTCCTTCACTAAGCTCATCCTCTCTAAACATCAGTTTCAATAAATGTTATGCGTACTATCTTCCCAGTATATTTCAATAATGTCATGATTTATTTCATCCAGTTAATGCAGGGACATGCAGGCACAGACATGAACATGACACCAAGGCATGGACATTAATATGACGCACAGAGATTGATATGAACATGACACACAAGCACAAATGTGAACATGACACCAGAAATCGATATGAACATATCCTGGGAAAAAGTCATGAGCACCCTAAATCCTCACCAGTGCCTGTAAAAGCTGAACACAGAAACAGTCTGTATTAAATATGTACCATTCAGGAAACTTAGAAAATCAGATATGGAAAGCGTGTGTAGAAGACTGTACAGAAGAAAAAGGGTCAATGCACTGCTGAACAATGTAAATACGTCAAAATGAAGGAAAGATAATATTAGCTGAGAGAAAAACTTAAGCTGTGGCACCAGACAGAAGAAGCACAACGGGAACAAAAGGCCATAAAAGATATTGTAAGAAACCCCTAATAAGCTACAAACTACCTTTAGAATTGGACCATTAATAACAGGAGGTTCATATACTACTGATAATGAACAGGAAATGAATAAAATTCTAGAAGATCAATATGAGTCAATGTTCAGCAACCCACTAGATGACAGCATGGTGGAGATTGCTGAAACTTTTTTTCATTCCATTTGAAGGCCACGCAGACCAACTAACTGATATTCGTACTTATCCTACAGAATTTGAAAAAGAAATAGAAAGCATGCCTACTTACTCAGCACCTGGACCAGATTCATGGAATTCTTTATTAATAAAAAATGTGCAGCATACCACTAGCTGGAGCCCTCAGTACTTTTTTTGGAGAAAGAGCCTAGATCTAGGTGAAATACCCAAGACCTTAATGAGTGCAGACATAGCTCCTTTGCATATGGAAGGTAGTAGAGCACTAGCTAAAAATTACAGACCATTATCCCTAACTTCCTACATTATAAAAATCTTGGAAAGTGATGAGATGCCAGATTACAAACTTTATGGAACAACACAATCTGCATAACCCCAACCAGTTTTAGATCTGGGAGATCATGCCTGTTACAGCTGCTGAACCAATATGACATAATTACAGAGGCAATGGAAGAAAACCAAAACGCAGATGTGATATACAAACTTTACAAAAGCGTTTGGCAAATGCCATCATGGGGTGACTGAACACAAAATGAAGGCCATAGACATAATGGGGAAGGTACGCAGGTTGATTTTCAGGTTTCTAACACAGACTGCTAAGACTAGTAGTAAATAGAGCAAAATCCAGCATTTTTTTTTTATTATTATTATCACACCGGCCGATTCCCACCAAGGCAGGGTGGCCCGAAAAAGAAAAACTTTCACCATCATTCACTCCATCACTGTCTTGCCAGAAGGGTGCTTTACACTACAGTTTTTAAACTGCAACATTAACACCCCTCCTTCAGAGTGCAGGCACTGTACTTCCCATCTCCAGGACTCAAGTCCGGCCTGCCGGTTTCCCTGAATCCCTTCATAAATGTTACTTTGCTCACACTCCAACAGCACGTCAAGTATTAAAAACCATTTGTCTCCATTCACTCCTATCAAACACGCTCACGCATGCCTGCTGGAAGTCCAAGCCCCTCGCACACAAAACCTCCTTTACCCCCTCCCTCCAACCCTTCCTAGGCCGACCCCTACCCCGCCTTCCTTCCACTACAGACTGATACACTCTTGAAGTCATTCTGTTTCGCTCCATTCTCTCTACATGTCCGAACCACCTCAACAACCCTTCCTCAGCCCTCTGGACAACAGTTTTGGTAATCCCGCACCTCCTCCTAACTTCCAAACTACGAATTCTCTGCATTATATTCACACCACACATTGCCCTCAGACATGACATCTCCACTGCCTCCAGCCTTCTCCTCGCTGCAACATTCATCACCCACGCTTCACACCCATATAAGAGCGTTGGTAAAACTATACTCTCATACATTCCCCTCTTTGCCTCCAAGGACAAAGTTCTTTGTCTCCACAGACTCCTAAGTGCACCACTCACTCTTTTTCCCTCATCAATTCTATGATTCACCTCATCTTTCATAGACCCATCTGCTGACACGTCCACTCCCAAATATCTGAATACGTTCACCTCCTCCATACTCTCTCCCTCCAATCTGATATTCAATCTTTCATCACCTAATCTTTTTGTTATCCTCATAACCTTACTCTTTCCTGTATTCACCTTTAATTTTCTTCTTTTGCACACCCTACCAAATTCATCCACCAATCTCTGCAACTTCTCTTCAGAATCTCCCAAGAGCACAGTGTCATCAGCAAAGAGCAGCTGTGACAACTCCCACTTTGTGTGTGATTCTTTATCTTTTAACTCCACGCCTCTTGCCAAGACCCTCGCATTTACTTCTCTTACAACCCCATCTATAAATATAATTAAACAACCACGGTGACATCACACATCCTTGTCTAAGGCCTACTTTTACTGGGAAAAATTTCCCTCTTTTCTACATACTCTAACTTGAGCCTCACTATCCTCGTAAAAACTCTTCACTGCTTTCAGTAACCTACCTCCTACACCATACACTTGCAACATCTGCCACATTGCCCCCCTATCCACCCTGTCATACGCCTTTTCCAAATCCATAAATGCCACAAAGACCTCTTTAGCCTTATCTAAATACTGTTCACTTATATGTTTCACTGTAAACAACCTGGTCCACACACCCCCTACCTTTCCTAAAGCCTCCTTGTTCATCTGCTATCCTATTCTCCGTCTTACTCTTAATTCTTTCAATTATAACTCTACCATACACTTTACCAGGTACACTCAACAGACTTATCCCCCTATAATTTTTGCACTCTCTTTTATCCCCTTTGCCTTTATACAAAGGAACTATGCATGCTCTCTGCCAATCCCTAGGTACCTTACCTTCTTCCATACATTTATTAAATAATTGCACCAACCACTCCAAAACTATATCCCCACCTGCTTTTAACATTTCTATCTTTATCCCATCAATCCCGGCTGCCTTACCCCCTTTCATTTTACCTACTGCCTCACGAACTTCCCCCACACTCACAACTGGCTCTTCCTCACTCCTACAAGATGTTATTCCTCCTTGCCCTATACACGAAATCACAGCTTCCCTATCCTCATCAACATTTAACAATTCCTCAAAATATTCCTTCCATCTTCCCAATACCTCTAACTCTCCATTTAATAACTCTCCTCTCCTATTTTTAACTGACAAATCCATTTGTTCTCTAGGCTTTCTTAACTTGTTAATCTCACTCCAAAACTTTTTCTTATTTTCAACAAAATTTGTTGATAACATCTCACCCACTCTCTCATTTGCTCTCTTTTTACATTGCTTCACCACTCTCTTAACTTCTCTCTTTTTCTCCATATACTCTTCCCTCCTTGCATCACTTCTACTTTGTAAAAACTTCTCATATGCTAACTTTTTCTCCCTTACTACTCTCTTTACATCATCATTCCACCAATCGCTCCTCTTCCCTCCTGCACCCACTTTCCTGTAACCACAAACTTCTGCTGAACACTCTAACACTACATTTTTAAACCTACCCCATACCTCTTCGACCCCATTGCCTATGCTCTCATTAGCCCATCTATCCTCCAATAGCTGTTTATATCTTACCCTAACTGCCTCCTCTTTTAGTTTATAAACCTTCACCTCTCTCTTCCCTGATGCTTCTATTCTCCTTGTATCCCATCTACCTTTTACTCTCAGTGTAGCTACAACTAGAAAGTGATCTGATATATCTGTGGCCCCTCTATAAACATGTACATCCTGAAGTCTACTCAACAGTCTTTTATCTACCAATACATAATCCAACAAACTACTGTCATTTCGCCCTACATCATATCGTGTATACTTATTTATCCTCTTTTTCTTAAAATATGTATTACCTAT